ATATTTTAAATATTTTATATTTTATTATCTTATTAAAATTGTGATTTGACGGAAAATATTAAAATATTAACAGCATCGACGTAAATCTAAGACTGTGGCACCTAAAAGTAGACGTCGACTCTAAGTAAGAAAAAAAGTTAAATTAGGTACGCGAACACAATCTGATAATACACGCTTAGCCCTGTAAGTCAGCGTGAAATCTATTCATTCCATCGGTCTGCGATTAATGAATGACGATAGTACAGCCACGCAACGGTCATAAGGCTAACTCAGCCCAGAAGACTTCTAAACCCACGCGTAAAAGACGTAGAGTTTCTGAGCCCGGAAATACAATCCGTCCGACTGGATGCAGGTGAACGCGGATAACGCAAAGTCAAATTAATGTACGTAAAAAATATCCCTGACCACGTAATTACAAAACAGAAACAGCCCGCCACCTGTCCAAGCAACAAATGTTGTTCTTAAGCGGGTACTTGAAAGTAAATACTAACATTTCGGAAGGAGGAGGCAGCAGGTTCCTCCGAAACGTCTATGTCTTATTACAAGATCGCGTTACTAACCAGATCAATTCCTTCAGAACCTCAAATCACATATTTGAATTTCAAAGTTCAATTTTAATGCTAAATAAGTAATTTATTAACAGAAATGTGAAGCTGATAACGGTAGCTGTCCGGTCTAAGATTGCACTGCACTACACCTTTCAAACACCACAAACGCGGCTTCTAATCGCGTTAGTATACAGGCATACCTCGTTACATTGCGTTTTATTTTACAAATCGAAGGTTTGTGGCAACCCTGCGTCGAGCAAGTCTATCGGCGTCATTTTTCCAACAGCACGTGCTCGCTTCGTGTCTCTGCGTCACATTTTGGTAATTCTCGCGATGTTTTCTTTAGACATAATGCTATTGCACACTTAATAGACTACAGTTTAGCGTAAACATAACTTTTATATGCACTGGGAAACCAAAAAAATTCGTGTGACTCGCTTTATTGCGGTGGTCTGGAACACAATCTGCAATTAAAATATATAATATAATTCAGGTCTATACACAAACTTTATTTACAGATGTTAAAATTTAAAATTTGCGCTATTCATCGTTACTACGATGTTACAATACTGCGTAACGATGAATAGCACAAATTTTAAATTTTAACATCTGTAAATAAAGTTTGTGTATAGACCTGAATTATATTATATATTTTAATTATAAAACACAAACATGACGCATTTAAACTTTATACAACCTGCAATATCTCCGAGGTATGTGGTATTTATTTATGGTTTATTTAATGACAATGTCAGTAGCTCAGATCACACAGCATTGAATAACACGAAGATCTGAAAATACTAGATGAAGTGATCGTGGCTAAGAAGGGTACTAGGCAGAAACTGAGGAAAACCACTAAAACTTAGTTACGATAGTCGTGAGCTGAGTATTCGGTCGCAAAATTCAGTGAATCCCACACATGACACTCACGTGACTTTGTGGTAATGCGTCTTAATAAAGACTTAAGACAACCAAAGAATGAGAGGCAATGCCTCAGATCAAGGAAAGAGATTTCAAGGTCACCCCACTAGACACTTACAAACTGCTTCCTGAGAATAAGATGGCATTAGAACTGAGGTTGGAGTGAAGGGTTATTTTTAATCGCTGGTCGAGAAAATCTGTGACTAAAAACCTTTTTATGCAACGACTAAAAATGGTTTAAGAGGCAGCCTACACGAAATTATATAAAATAAAAGCATCGAAAATTAATTTTGACATCGTATACTCTGGCAAATATTCTCAAAGCGTCGAGAAGTCAACTCTTGAGCCCACTCAACTTCGTCAAAACCAGGTGATATTTGAGGTTCTCACGAAGGTGATGTTGGTAGAAGTTTACCAACGTTTCAGAGGTCCTCGTTGCCTCTATCAACAGGGCAATGGCGGAGACAGCAAGCATCTCTGAAACGTCGGCAAACTTCTACCAACATCCCAGAAGACAGCCACTGTCACCTTCAAACTATTTTCTGTCCTCAGAAGGAGAAGTCAAATTTCACATCCACAGAAAACTACTTCGTCTTTTGAGCAATACGGGTTTTAACAAACATTAAACTAACCCAGGATAGCGGATCAGAAGGAGACGAGGTACCTCAGTCAGTTTTGTGCCGGAGTATGAACTATAACCGGGATCAATTCCCAGCAGTGACAAAAAGTTGTCAGTGGAACCACGGTTCCGGAGAATTTGACGTAAATACGTCTATACGGAAAGGAAGTTTATATATTGGCTTTATTCTAAATATTTCCTTTATACATGCTTTACAATTGAGATAAGTTTGATTAAGACATTGCTTATTTAACTTGAATTAGTTACGCTTAAGATGGGTCTGTGGTAGATGAATGTAATGTAATGTAATGTTTTATAGGTAACAACAATGCCGAGTAAACAGACGACGTTTCCTAGGTAACGTAACAATGAAGTTACACTTTTTCGTTTCCCTTTTTCGTAACACATTTTTGCCGAATGACACTGACCCTAAAATATAGACGTATTTACGTCAAAAAATTTCTCATGCCACCGCGTCCTAACCTACTCTACAGACCAAGAACTTCCCATCCAATGGGCATCAGATACTACATAAATACATTGGTTTCAAGCGATATATCTCGTACATAGGACGAAACAGACCTGTCCCACACAACCCTCGTATATCAGAGAAACAAAATCACATTGCAATAGATTTACCAAAAGCTTCAGTGACCATTATTTTGAGCAAAAAACCCCGATTTGTAATCAATGCTGTGAATGCACGGAGGCAGCTGTGGAATGGGACAGGACTTATTTACACAGATGAACCCTGATGTGGGGTGGCCATACAAATTGAAACGTCCTACAGGGCCAACAAGTACAAAGGCTAATTTAGATGGTGAAATCATTCAATTAAATCCGTCCAAACACTGCTGGAGACCGAGACAAACATTGGCGTGGCTTACGCGGTCCACCAGGGCCCCATTCCACTCCCCCCCCCTCCCCACCTCGCAAATGTTTAGACAAGATCCACTCAAATATCTATCACTGGTATATCCCAACATTTCCCTTTAGGTCAATTTTGCATTAAATCAACCACATCACAAATCAATAACGCGGTTACTCAAAACCTTTATAATTACACGAAGTTGTACTGAAAAAACGAGCTACGTGAATCCACGACTGCCTGCGTATGTTTGTTTGTTTGTTTGTATGCTTGCACATACTATATGTAAGCACTTGTACGTATGTGTGTAAGCATACGCGAATATTGTATTATGTTCTCATGTACATTACCCCTACTACAGAAACATCCCCCGTAGTCTTTGAGTTTTCCGGAAAAAGAAATGTCAAAAGGAAATGGAGCAAATTTCGTAGTTTAAAGCTCGAGCAATAAATACGGAAGTGACACAGGATGAACTGTTTTACAGGAACTCTGAAGTTAATTGATAATTATAGAATGTAACATTTCAAGAAGTGGAGTGCTATTGCACTCAGTTGTAAGAACTTTAGTAACGTAGCAAAATACAGCCACAAATTATCGTTTGAACTTTGTGTTTCACGTACAAAATTATTATTGCCAGGGTAATATTTTCTTCTATTTTCGAAGTTTTGATTCCAGTACGACCTGACTTTAGCTTTTTAAATAACTGATTACGTCCTATAAAATTATATATATTTTTTAAACCTTCCTCTAAAACAAACATCCATATTCTTATCACCACAGAAAACTCCAACACGGAAATTCTTCCGTGTTTAATATTGACTTTATATAATGTACCGTCTCCTTCAGAAAGCAAACACAATTGTACCTTTCGACCTGTTCACTGACGTGGTTTCAAACCGCATGTATCTATTATATACGTATAATCAACAGGTCTGTCATGTCTGTCTCTCCGTCCACGTGATTTACCTCGAGAACCGTTGGATGGATTTGGATGAAATTTGGTACAAAGTTTATGTCATTTTGAACGACCCTAAAATCGCACTTTAGAAATTTCCTGCAATATTCTGGCACCGATAATAGCGCCACTTGTAATTTTTTTTTTATTTAGTGTTCTGTCTGACGACATGTCCATATGAACAGGATCCTTCCATCTTTTTCTCGGACTGGGCCCTGTTCATATACGTTCTTGGCAGATGATCCAAAAGTGGTTTGCCATTGCCTTCTTCTGTGTGTGAATGGAGTAATTGTTGGGATGCCACGGAGGAAAACTCCGTGTTGCCTAGACCACGGTCTTGCCCAACACAAGTTATAAATTCGGGCACCGCCGGGAATCGAACCCGAGACCCCCAGGATTACAAGGCCAGCGTTCTAACCGCTAGAACCACCGTGGCGGTGCTAGTTACTTATTCCTAAAAAATTAATCAGCGCGTTATTTAAAATATAACAAAGAACATCTGCATAGACAAGCAACAGCTTCACACCTGTACACAAAGGCTTTTGAATTTAAAAGACAGATTTCGTTTTTCGGAATCCTATTAATGAGCTCCGATAAAAGTCCCTGTCTGTATCATCGATACTTCGTTCTGAGGTCGAAACAATATCGAATATATAAAGTATATAGTGTCCAAGTTCAGTTTCTTCCGCAAACACACGAAATTTAAGCCCATAAGAGGAATACTAGGGGTTAAACGTACTTGAAACATCTGCAGGTCGAGTTCCGCCACTCGGCTAAGAAGGCGTATTGTTGCTATGGTGACGGCGATGGTATGTGGTGGGAGATCAGGGGGCGGAGAGGCAGAGCCCCTGGGAGGTGCGCCCTGGTGTAACAGCATACCGTATAGCATGGACACGGCGCCTACCAGCTCCGTCACTTGCAGCGTCCCCACCAGCTGAGTGGGGTCGTCACTGTTCACTCGGCGTCGCACGCGGCCAATGCACCTGCAAGGGAAAAGTGACCACTGAACAGGAGACTGGCCTTGCTGGGAAGCGAACCCAGTTCATTCAGCGAGGAGCCTAGTCGCGCTGAACTGACCCACCGAGTTACATTTGGGGTCTGAAGGTCTGGACAGGGCTCGTCAGTCTGGGTGGTGGGTTCTAACGGTAATAAACTTTCGTATTCCATAAAAAAACAGCGGGAAATATTGGCTAACTAACGGTAGTATTTATCAGCTTCTCAAGATGGACTGACTCTACGTCATTCAACTACAAACAATCCAGATATACGAGTAAAGCACGGGTCCTTACGAGCTTTTACTTCCATTCATCTCACCCCCCTAAAGATATATTTTAATTTATAAAACCGAGTGTTGCAGTACGACTGTGTTTCGTAAGAATGTATTTTAAACAATTTGTAGTACATTACTAGTGTGAAGAGTTTATTTAAATGTTTGAATTGCATCCAGTATTTCTGTTGTATAATTAGCGGGGTAGTGTATGGTGGAAGGAACAGCCACTACAGCAAATGCATGGCTTGTGCATGTGGTTATTTGAAGTGCAGTACTGTGCTATCCAAAGAAAAGAGGTGTCGGTGATTTCTTGAAGTTAATTCGTGTTTTTCAGCAGAATGGGTAATTTTGCTTCTGCCAAACTACCACCACGCGCGTTTAGCAAATATCGCAATGCTGTGGCCACAAGCGCAATGCCTCACTCAAATATGTAGGAGTAGTGTTCTAAGAGACAATGCGTGAGATTCTATTTTAAATGTTAATTATTGTAATATTTTAATATTTAATAAGAATTTATTGTGATTAGACGGACAAGATTTAAATAATATATATTTATTATATCACAATATGACGCAACTTTACCATCTCATGAAAATGAATGTTATTGAATTAGTCTGACCTACTTTCTTAATTTATTAACCAAAACCTCTGAAGCGTACGGTTATAAAGTCTATGGCTCCACTGGGAGATGGTCGAAACGACGTATCCTGCAACCAGCACATGAGATGAGATCAAATTTGCAATCACTTTTAAGGATGCCTACAGTAAAGTTATTTGTGGAAACAATAACCTGTTCTTTAGACCACCGTATTTTAGAGGCACGGGGTTCGAATTTCGGCCCAGTGACCGGCCGAATATCACGACAGATTTCTTGTAGTTCTTATAAATCTCTAAAAAAAATCTATCAACAGCATTTGATATAGAATTTATCAAATATTTAACTGCTGAAGTTCGTTGTGTTCAATGTTTTCCAGGTAGAGTTTGATCAAAAAAGATGCTTCTGATGTCTCAAAAAAAAAAGTCTAAATACAATGTATTGAGAACAACTGTGACTGAAAACCTTCGTACGTAACAATAAATCAACAAATTTATTTATTTAAAACTGTAACACAGACTAAATTAGATGTGCAAACAGACAAACGTGGGTAATTAATTAATTGTTTAATTAATAGTAAATAAAAACAGTGTCGTATTTCAGGAGATACGATAAATATAATTCTTTTAATAGCGTAAACATTGGAATAGTAGTTTTCAACTTCATACGAAACAACAGTCCATAGTAACGGAGTAACATTAAGACTACGCAGCAGAAATGGCGGGGACCGAATTCGATCGACTACAGTAACAAGCGCCCAGGAAAATGCAGTACAGAATGACGCTAATTAACAGAAACAAGACGCTTCTAATTGCGCGTAATGAATTAACAGGTTCCGTAGCTACCAGCATTCATTTATGTCAATTGCAATTTGTGCTCGTCTCCCCAAGGCGGGCAAAGGCACGACCGTCCTACCTTATCAGTCGCGCCCCAGAGAGAATGCATTTTGAATAACAAGTAGCTAGGTACAAGCCTCCTTCTCACCTCAAGGCTCGCCCCCAAAAACCCACAAAAAAGATAAACCAAGGACGCAGAGTCCTCAGCGTCACGTTACAGCCGACTTAACCCCCTGCACAGAATATCTCAGAAGACGACCATCAGATTCGACCTTAACACTGATTCAGATAAAACAAGTTAGGAATTGCGCGCACGGTGTTACAATTCGTGCCCCGTCGAAAGAATCTGATGACTTTCGACATCAGGGAATGACGTTAATGATGTCATATTTGCCTGGCTTCGAGTACCACAGTGTGGACAGCGTGTCTCCAGCCTGCCATCAAAGATCCTCACATGTGGTGATTATCCGAATGGGGATTTTTTTAGTAATATCCTGCAGAACCAAATTTCATGAAGATCCGTTCACATACACAGATATGACGATGCAACCGTTACTTGGGAACAACGCCAATCTTGTCACTTCAATGAGGTATCGCGTACGTTTTCATTAATTCATAACAGAGGAAAAATACGATATACCCATTTTTAGTCGCTGTATCTATCAATGGTCTTACGTTCATCAACTGTGACACGTACAAATCTGTTATTACGAGGCTGACCTACGACACAGGTACCACGTTTTACAAGTCATAAATGTAGCATTTATCAGAGATTACACAATAATCGTGGATAAAGATATTTCATTAAATACACATCCCACTGAAATCACACTCGCGAGTCGGATCCTACACCAAATTTGTATTACGGCCCGTTGTTTAGATGACAATGTACTAACTAACTAGATGGCTTACAGAACCCGAAGGTTCATCACCGAATTAACCAAAGCCCTCCACCGGACCCTGTCCTGGGCCAACAAAATCCAGTCTCCTTCAACTCCTATCTCCCA